ATTGTGAACTCAACTTAAGGTGTTTTAAATTATTTAATTAGATTATTTTTCTAATGGTGTTTAATTCTCAGGCTGCTCTTGGCTATCTCGATAGAAAAGTACTAGTTTATAGATGTGGCGGTACTATTATTTCGGACCAATTCGTACTCACCGCAGCTCACTGCATACGAAAAAATTATAAACCAACAATTGTTCGTCTGGGAAAGGTAATAAAATAAACCATTTCTTTATAAACCGTTTTACATTTCATTTTTATTATGAATATTTAACAGGCTTCTTTACTCGATGAAAGTAATGACACAATTACTGCAGTCATGCATAACATTCAGGTTATCATAAAAAACTTATTGATTTTCTTATAAAAACTGAAGAAATAATGTGAATTATTTTGTGTAGGACATCTTCGTTCATCCCGATTATAATGCCACAACCATGTGGAATGACATTGCTTTGCTTCAAGTTATCGATAAAATTATTTTTAATGATCTTGTTTCGCCAGCGTGTTTACATTCAAACTTAGGTGATTTACCATCAAATGTGCCGCTTACTGTTACCGGTTGGGGAACTACAGATTGGAGAAGTAAGTAGTGATTGCGACAATTAGTAACGTGTGTTCTTGAAATGTGTAAAATCAAACTAAATCAATTATGTTAAAATGTGTTCCAGGATCAACAACCCCTTCAAAATACTTGCTTAAAGTAAATTTGACATCAATGCCACTAGAGGAATGCAAATCAAAATTGATAACGGGGCCTCGTGTAAATGATACGTCTCTTAGAAATGGTCTTTTTAATGGGCAGTATTGTGCATACGGTGATGCGGAAAAAGATGCTTGCCACGGTGACAGTGGCGGCCCTTTGACATACCTCAGAACTAATACAAGCACAATCGTTGGTGTTGTCTCCTTCGGATATGGCTGTGGGTTGGATATACCATCCATTTACACAAGAGTATCGCATTATTTGGATTGGATTGAACCGCATGTTTGGAGTAATTTAGACAATTCAAATTGATGTGTAAATAAGCAAAAACTGAATAAAGCCTCTCTTATACGTTCTTCTGAAGAAAAGTTTATTTTTTACTATGATATGTTTTCATTAATTCCATAGATCACTACTCTCCGCAAAAACTCAATTCTATCAAATAACTGATTCATCGCATTACAAACGTGTTTCTGAGTGTGAAAATGATTTACATGATTATGTAGAGCCAAATCATAAGAAAACATTTTCAAGCACCGGTTTAAATGTTTTAAGTTGAATAATTTTTCCTTAAACCTTTATGATGTTAATGACCGTCTCTTTGCGATAAAGAGACTCCACGATTTTATTTATAAAAAAACCCGAGAAATAAAAAAGCTCGCTCTAAATGTGTTGACGTTGTTTTTGGGGTTTCCAACAAAATAATCATATTTTGACTCATTTCGCTCACCATATTTTGATTCTTTCTTGCTATTCATTATGATTTTGCCAAACCGTGACGGCCATATTGTCACAAACTTCGATTAGTACTCGGAATACGCATTAGAGGTGGTGTTAGTTACGTGCATGATCAGGCTTCAATTACTGAAAAGTAGACCTAGTAGGTTTCCCCCGTTCAGGTCCAATACAATTAGTGCATTTTTTCAATCTATACCGAGTCTATTAGAGTTTCATAAATTTTTTTCTGCTTTAATATGCAACCGTTATGAGTCGCGTTTCGATATGCGAATAATATATTAATTTTAGTATAGAGCATTCAATTAGTATTGAGGAGCTTTATCAAATGGAACTTTTACAATATTAACGACCGTCGCTTTGCATTCACAATTCTCTTTAAAATCCATCTTTATTCGCTTAATTAAATCAAAATATTTTCGAAGAATGCAAATTTCATCCGTGCCTGGTAATCTTTTTTATAATTTATCATATTTCGCATAATTTTTCTCACCATTCTTTTTTATCTTTGAATAACAAGAATAAAAAGTAACTTTGAAGGGTAATCACAAATCAAATTCGAATAAGTTAAAAACGTCTGACGAATTCTTATGGAATTCCCTATGGGAATTCTTCGAATGAAAAGTAAACATAAAATTAACTCAAGTTATAAGTAAAGAAAAACATGTTCTATCACATTCGTATCAAAAGAGCCGTTTTTACAAAAAAAATATCAAATTTTTGTTTGGAATGTATCATCAATTTGACATTGAATGAAAATGATAAAAAGCATCAGATATACAATGACATCATGTTTGTTGAAATTGCTATTTATGGAGGAAATTAAGCAACAAATGAGTGCAGTTATTTTTCAACCAATGAGCTGAATAATTGCATGACAATTCTTTTAATTTCTCAAACAGTTTAATTTTAGCATCGAATATTTTAGTCGGTAAGAGTTTGTTAATTTGTAAAGTTTATGATATGGAGATGTATTCGAAACATATATTTGGAGTTTGATAATTATTATATTCAAATTATCATGTACAAATTGCTCATTTGGATCGGTGTGTAAAGATATTGATTGATTTGGGACGTTTTGACTTTCTATATGTCTAGAAAATATTTATTTTAATATTTTTGTGATATTTTATGAAAAAAATATATATTTTGCAATTTTCTAGTATTTTCCAAATATTTTGTGACAATTATTCAAAAATTAATAGTTTCTTCGCGTTTGAAATTTGTTGTTTTTGACAAAGATTTTGGAGCTTTCAATGCCCCATCGCATTTAAACGGAATTTAAATGAATTTTTTTCGAATATAAGTGACAAAGTAATATCATTTTGACTTTTGGTTGATTTCCCATTAGTCATCTTGAACTTAATTGCGCACAGATTACCAAAGCATCGAAATTTGTTGCGGTATTTCCAAACCAAGTGATAATTTTTTGATTCACGTCGACATACGACTTTAAATGGCAGGATGTTTCAAACGCAACAAAATATAAAATACATGAATACACTATTATCAACGTCCGCTATCATTCATGTGCTAAAGTCAGATCAAAAGAAATGTAAATTTAAACGACCAGTTCCATTTCATCTTAATTCGGTTAGGGTCAGTGTAGAAAGATTTATATTAAACAGACATTTTCGTTTCTATTTTCAGTACATTCATTTCCATTGTTCAAATTGGATTTCGTTTAAATTCAAACAATGAAGTCACTCATCCTAAGCATTCTATGTTTCGGCGCAGTGGTGATCAATGTCACTTCAGGTATGTTTTATTTAAGATAAAATCTAACAGAGTAGTGTGTGAATCCAATTTCGGTTGA